CAAAACAGATTTTTGAAATATGCTTTCTATATCCTTTTAAATTCTGTAAAATCTGTGGTAATGTCTCCTAGGTCTTGATATTTTAATTTTAAAAATGTATAATTGATGTTGTGTAATAGGAAGTAAGGGTCTAAAGGAGCAGAGGAAGTAGGAGGGGTAGGGGAAAGGAAAGAAGGGAAAAGAAAATATATGAGAAAAGGAAAAAAATGGAAACAAAGTCTTTGCAAACAGGGAAGGGAGAGCAGGGGAAGGGGAAAAAAATAAGAACAAAGATACTCATGTAATGGTACAAGATCCCAATGATGTATGTAAATGTATTTTATACCTAAAATGTAACAATAAACTTAATGGAGGGGAAAAAGAAAAGAAAGAAAACTCCCTTGAATTAAAAGAAAAAAAATCATCCAGTAACAAATGCTGGTGAGGCTGTGGAGAGGAAGGAGCCCTTCTCCACTGTTGGTGGGAGTGCAGACTGGTGCAATCATTGTGGAAGTTAGTATAGAGAGTCTTCAGAAAACTAAAAGTAGAAATTCCATTTGACCCAGCTATTTCTCTTCTAAGTATCTTCCCCAAAGCGTTAAAGACATCCTATTACAGTGATGTATGGATACTTGTTTTTATAGCAGCACATTTCATAATATGAAACATTGGAAACAGCCTCTATGTCCGTCAACAGATGAATGGATTAAAAAATCTGGTATTTATAAACAATGGAGTACTACTCTGCCATAACGAAGGATAAACTTGAGTCATTTATAGGAAAATGGATGTGCTTTGAGACCATAATTTTAAGTGAAGTAACTCAGACATGCAAGCTTAAATATTGCATGGTTTCTCTTATATGAAAAACTCAATATATATATAGTAAGAAATAAAAGATAATAGGAAAAAGAGGTATTGTAATCTAGCACAGGCAATGTATCTAAAATTGTACTTTGTACCAGGCATGCCTGTAATCCCAGCACCTGGGAGACTGAGGCAGGAGGATCGCTGCAAGTTCAAGGCCAGCCTAGGCTACATAGTGTATTCAAGGCCAGTATGAACTACATAGTGAGACTCTATCAAAAAATAAAAAGTGTACCTTGACTTAGTACAATGGTCTTACATGTTTTATGTGTTCTTTGGCCCATTAGTCTGGTTTTCAAGCTGTATATATAATTAACTTTATAAGGTCTTGCAAAATAAATAAATGAACCTGATGCTGGAAAAATAAAAAGGGGGCAGAGAGAGGGGGAAAAGAAGGGAATTAAAATGTGTTATGTACATGTATGAATTCCCTACAGTGAATGTAATCATTATATTCTGCAAACATGTACTAATAAAAGTTAAAAAAAAAAAAAAACCAACCTTGTTAGCAAAAAAACCTTTCAATTTCCTGTATTTTTTAACCCAAATGCACTTTTGTTCTCCAGCCAAGAATGACTGTGATCTTGGCAAGTTTCTTACCCTTAAGATTGTTTCCCCTCTCTAAAATAAGACCATTACCTATTTCTCTGGATTGAAGGATAAAACAAGGTAACTTGGAATAGTGCTTGATCTTTGAATGGGCATTCAATATAGAGTGATTTCTTTCATTTTTAGTCCTTTCTTGTCCACAGTGTTTTCAGTGCTTGATGGTAAATTGTGATGATAGGATTTTTATACAGCACTGTGGAGAAAGCATATGGTAGGCAATTAACTAAGGACAAATAAGGAGAATTGGAAATTCTGACTTCTGAAGTTAAAACACTTTGTGAAGTGGGTTTAAAAGGAGAGGAAGCCACAGCCTGTGCATTTTCCCCTTAAGGACATTTTTCATTGCATTGCCCAAGGTCTGGCAGTCCCAGCAAACTCCATTTGTGTATATAATGTTCTGGTGAGTCTTCAGTTCCTGTCAAACTCAGCCAAGCAGAGGCATAGCACATAACAGTCCATGGACAGCCATGTGTCTACCAGCCTGGCTCTGATTCTGCAGTGTCACTGGAGCATTGTCTTGGGTTATTAGTGTGCCACCGAAAGTGAAGGAAATCCAAGGATAAAGGTGAAATTGCAAGAAGCATGTAGTTTGGGCTTGAATTAAGCTGAAATGCTAAATTCAGAAATAAAATTGGAGCCTAAAGAAACTCATATTTCCTTAATGAGATTTGCTTTGAATTGAGGGTCCTGAGATGCTCGTCTTAGTGCTGGTTTTGACAGTGACTCACTGTTGGATCTCCATCTGATTTCCTGTTTGTATCACAAGTGATTCTTCCTGTATTTCTTTGCCTTGTATGGCTGTTGTGATTCTATAAGATCTGAGCGACATCAGAGTAAGACAAGAACTCCAAATAAACAAAGGACAGTGTTTAAATTATACCCTCTTGGGTTTCTGTCTGTTACTAGCCCTCACATTGACCATGCCCTGTTGGACATGTCCGTCCTTTGACTCCCTGCGGAGATGCCCTCTGACCTCCGAGAGCAGCTGGACCACCCATTCTGAAGACACCAGCAGTCCTAGCATTGGGCCTTCGTACACAGACCTGCAGCTCATCAATGCGGAGGACCAGACAAGCAGCAGGGCTTCCGGGGCTGACTCAACTGGTAAGCCAAGCTCTGAGCCCTTTCTAGTTTTAGTATTTCCAGGTCTTCCTCAATCCCTGTCATCAGCTTTCTTTGCAGAATGAGTTCAAGTGTAGTCACCCAGTCAAAAAGCCAGCATCCAGAGTGGTTTGAGATCACATTGGCAAAAATGTATGGACTGGCTGATTGGCGGGCTGATTATTCAGACTGGGAAACTATTTGACAGTATGTCTTAATGTGTTACTTTCTGACTGTTTGGTACGCGTACCATTCCCTGCCAATTTATTTTCTCCTTGGATTACTGAACTGTATGTAACATGCACAAGGCTGGCTCTTTCATCCTCCCACCCACACATTTTGCCTCTTTGGAAGGAGGGAGGTGGATTTAAGCAGAGAGAAAGTAAAGTAAATGTTTTGTGAAGCAGAATGAGAATCAGGACTAAGTCACTATGTCCAGGCTACAGATAATTTTGCAGTTAGATGGTTGTTCATTTGTGCCTTGATTGAGCTATATGGCGGTCTGTGGTGTCCCACCGTGTCCTTTATTTAGCTTTCCAGTGCTGGCTTGCTTTGCAGGTGGAACATGGGCCTCCCAGTAGACATTGTGTTGGGGGGAGGGATTTGGCATGTCATTGGAAAGAAGTATGGCCTTGGGGCTTTATTTGTTTGGCCCAAATGTTATGCTAGTTTCTCTACAGATGAAATTATCCTGTGTGTCCACGATATGTGATTTCCCTACTCAAAAATGTTCTGTAGGAGTTAGTCTCTAGGCCATTTTTCATGTTTGGATAATATTTTCCCTCATGCTTTATGCTACTGGATTCTACAAGTATAAGAGTACATCGTTTGTGTAGACTAAAGGGTTCAGGTAGGATTTGGCTTGGTGTTTGACAATATTGCAGGGTATCTTTGCTTGTTTTTAGAGACAAAGTCTCACTATATAGTTCAGGCTGGCCTTGATCTGTATGTAGTCTAAACTGACCTCAAACTTGGGCAGTCTTCCTGCCTCAGCTCTCCAAGTGCTCGGGTGATGATATATGCCCACAACCCCATTTCCACATGGCTATCAGCAGGATTGGGGTAGCACCCACAGCAGCTGAGGCTCTTAGGAAGAGAAGCTGCACTTGCCTCTTCACCTCCCGTAACTTCATTTCCAGGCCTTCCCGGGCACAGGCAGACACTGTATGTACTGGTTAAGAGTGCCCTGACTCCGGAGTCAGCCTGCTCAGGTTCAAATCCAATTCTGCCGTATCTTAGCCGTGTGACATTAGGCAGGATACTTATTGGTTTGTTTGTTTTGTTTTGTTTTGTGTGCTGGGGGTCACTGAGCTATTCCCCTAGCTACATCCCTATGTTACTTACTTTCCCCTCGTTGCTGAGACAAAAATACCCGACACCCAAAGTTGGAGGGGAGGAGGTTTATTTGGCTTACAGTTCATAGAGATTTCAGTCCATAATTGGCTGGCTCCAAAGCAGAGTGGCTGACAGACAGGCGTCCCAGAGGAGAAACAACATGGCCAGGTAGAAAAGGTTACAAGGGGAGTTACTAGCATCTTTCTGCCCCTTTTATCTTATTCAGACTCCTGGGATTAGGGCGGTGCCAAGCTAATCACTCACGTGTAGTGGTTTAGTAATCATATGCCCTTAACGCCAGCATCACATATTACAGATTCAACTATCCCTGAAAAAGAAAGCCCCACCTCTTCCACATGAGGCTTTGGAGGGACATCTAAACACAAACCATCGCAGTCCCCACTCCCAAATCCTTTTGATTTTAAGCTGTACTGGGGATTGAACTCAGGGTTTACACACTGTGCTACAGCTCCAGACCTTTTTTATTTTCAGACAGAGTCTCATTAAGTCACTAAGATGCCCAGGCTGAGTTCAAACTTTTGATACTCGTGCCCCAGCCTCCCAGAGTCTGGGGATCACTGACATGCACCACCATTACTGGCTGATCTTTACTATTTGCGTGACTCAGTTTCCTTATCTGACAAAGGGAGATAATATTAGTATGTGTCTTGTTAAATTGTCATCAGCTCCAAGTGAGTTGACTTATGTAGAACAGTTTTACACGATGTCTGACACAGAACAATTGACATCAGGGATTAATGTCGTCCCTTTCCTGCTGCAGGGTTCTTATTGCTTAGGGGTGGTAGAAATTGGGTCTGCACTGAAGGAAAAGTGAGGCTGTTAATTTAGTGCCCTCTAGACGTCTTCATCAGGGGGAACTGGCCGTAATTCTTGCAGGTTGTTAATGACATTCAGAGTCGTAGCCTAAACTAGACATAATCATTATTATTTTGTTTTGGTTTTCGGACTGCTGAGGAGCAAACCAAGGGCCTTGTGCATGCTAGCCAAGCTCTAGCATAAGAGCTACATCCCTGTCTCCTGAGCTGGTGGTTGTTAATCTGCCTCTGAAGTTTCTAATAGTTTTTAGCATCTCCGTTTTCTAAAGTCATTCTAACAGTGTCACATTTCACAACAACAAGACCTCCTTCCTGGTTGTTCTGGTCAGGGTCCTGGCAGAAAGCACACAATGCCCTAGAAAGGCTTTACTCGGAAAGAGTTTAATGAAAGCACTGGTTATAGAGGGAGCAAGAGCTCGAGTCACGGAAGAGCTGACCCAGCTCTCCCTGGCCAGACAGTGTGTGAGGATAACAGCTGGGCGACGCTCTGTGCTTCGCCTCTGTGAGAAGAGAGATTGTGGTGGCCCAGGCCTGGCCTGGCTTCCTCAGCCCCACCACTCCATGGTGAGCCGGGCCACGGCCTCCTCCCTGTCCTCTGTGCAGGAGTTCTTCAGGGACCTGGCAGCCCCCGTGACAGTCTGATTCCCAGCTTCAGCGTGCAGGGCAAGACTATGATCAGCCTACTCTTTCTTCTCATTTTCTCACCAGGGGATAATTAGAGGAGGAAAGCAAACAAATCCCCTCACCTTGGTTAGATTACAGGGTGTGTGGCAGAGCTGGAGGTAGTGTTTGCTGTGGGGTTCAGCTCTCCAGAGTAAATGGCAACAAAATTAGAAGCAGGCAAGATCCCAAATAATGCTTGCTTTTCTCTTGTCCCGGCATCTCCACAGGGGCCCCCTTTGCCTAGAGGAGACTCTCACCAGGCAGAGTAGCTGTGGAATGTCACTGACTTACTGGATTTGTAAACAGTAAGAGGACTGAGGGAGCAAAAGCAAGCCTCTGTCTTTGAAGTCCCTTCCAACCACGGAAGTGGAAACACATCAGTGTCTGCAGTAGCACAAGCTGCAGCCTCAGTTTTGGTTTTCTTCTCCATGCAAAAAAAATAGTGTGGATTTCAGTGTGGGATCAGAATGCTCAGATATATGCAAAGTGAGGAGTGTCCAGACGGGATGAGGTATGTATGAACTACACAGAGGATGTTTAATAATTGTTGAAGGGATCCTTACATGGATGGTGTGAGAATACAGGTAGCAAAGTCATCTGTAGCCCAGACCTTTGTGTCCCATTTGATTTGAGTCCAGTATTTCCCCAAGTGTCCCCTGCAGCAGCCCAAGAAAACCGGGATGCAGAGCCCATGCACTAGGCACACTGTGCTACCTGTAACATTAGCTTAGAAGATTTTGAGAAGTCCTGAAATTATATGTACCATGTGTACATTTCCGTATGTCTTTACATACACATATATTTATATAGCTATATATAAATAAATAGTTTTTCCATTAACCCCTATGCCTACCTGGGCAGATCTCAGTGAATGGAAACCTAAACACATGTAAATTTGCCAATTTATTGAAAAGTATATGCCTTCAGTAAAAAGTTGTAAACCAGAGAACCCAGAAAGAAATATTTTGATGAACTTCCCTGGATTAGTTATCCTTATAAAGTTAGCCCTACTTTGTCCCATTTTCTGTTGAGCTTCTTGGCTGGCCTTATAAATTTTCTTTTTTAAAAATCATTCTAGATCCAGGAAGTAAAAATGATTAAGATATGATACGTATATGTACCGATATAAAATAAATTAATTACATATTAGGTATCACAAACATATAATAATAAAAAATAAAATGACATGAATTTAAGAGAAAAATAATTCTAGATTCATAAATCCTAACACTGCATTTTGGAGAAACTTGCTTTGTGTGTCAAACCTCATGGGCTTAAAACAAATTTAGACAAAGTATTCTTGATTCATTTGCACTTATCTGATCACAGTGGAATTCTGCCAATGAAGTAGCATACCCCTAGAGATTTTGTACTAGATTTTTTTCCCTCAGAAATAAGCATTTAAGCCTGGTAGAAAGTTATGGACTGGAACTTCGATTTTTTTTATGGCAATAAAATATTAAATTCTTAGGCAGGTTCTCTTGGCATTTTTTGTTAAGAGTAGTATGAGAACATCACCTACCCTTAGGTAAGGCTGTGTGTCTTTTTATAAGACATACCACACTTCTCTGTTGCCTCTTTTGTCTGAATTTTACTGTAGTTGGTGGGGCTTAACCCAGAATTAGGGGTTTAGATTATAGGTAAATAGTGATTGTCATGTGCAGGTTGGGATCATAAGGAATTTTTGTTATTCTTAAGACACATCTGTATTCTCTGTTTTTTTTAAACCTTGAATATATTTTGCTTAGAAAACAAAAATAAATTAACTTCTAAAAATTCTTCCTTCAGGCCAGGGATGTAGCTCTGTAAGGATGTAGTGTAATGCCTGCCTGGCAAGCATGAGGCCCCGAGTTCGATTCCTAGCACCAAAAATCCCCAAAATTCTTCCTTCTAGCTATAAACTTCCAGGATATTCATATTTTTCCTATACAGTAGTTTGCTTATCAAAATGAAAGAACAACAGGATTTTTTTGTGGTTTGTTTTGGAAACAGGGTCTCACTATGTAGTTCAGGCTGGTCTTGAACTCACTGTATAGCCCAGGCTGGCTTCAAACTCACAGTGATCCTCCTGCTTCTACCTCCTGAGTCCTAAGATTACAGGCATGCACCACCAGGCCCAGCACAACAGAGTATTTTAAAAAATAAATTACATCTTTTTTCCCTTTCATGAGCAAATACAGAGTTGACCTTGTTTCTGTTCCTATTTCTTCTTGTGTCTATTAGCTGTCCACTTGGGATTTTAATCAGTGTTTAAAAACAAAAAAACTGCTGGAGATTTAGCTCAGTGGTTCCGGCTCCTGCCTCAAAAGCGCAAGGTCCCGAGTTCGATCTCTGGTACCAAAAAGCAAAAAACAAAAAACAAAAAACTAATCATTGCTTTCACTGAAAGTTTCTCCAGAGAAGTTCAAAAGTTTCTTAGAATACAAATATTTATTGAGTTTACTGGTCACTGTGAATACGGAAAAAAGGAGTTATTTTCTCATAAAGAACTAATTATCTATAAACAGATGCCACTAAAAGAATTTTTATAACTGTTTCTGTTTGTAGAACATGTCATGTGCCACGAATATGCTGCATTACACATGCATTATCTTATTCAACCTTCACTTTTCTTCTTTTATTGGTGGCACTGGAGAGGGACTCTAGAGATGCTCTGCCACTGAGCTCCTTTCCCAGCCCTTTTCATTTTTTATTTTGAGACAAGGTCTTGCAAAGTTGCCCAAGCTGGCCTTGAACTTGAGATCCTCCTCACTCAACCTCCCAGGTAGCTGAGATCATGGGTGTGTGCCACCAGGCACGGCCACAATCTCTTGAAGTATATTACTGTCCCATCTTATAGATGCAGAAAGAACAACTAAAACCGTTAAGTGACTTGGCCAAAGTCACACAACTAAAGAGGGTCCAGTCTGCCTCCTCAGCTCACCCTGCCTGTTGTGCTGTTGATGGCAGAGTCCATGGACTCGACGGGGCATGGGAAGGAATGAGTAGAGAACCTCCCGCAGGCCTGTGCCTCCTCAGCATTTCCAGGAGCTATGTACAGACTTCCTGTGGCACTTATTTCACCGAGGACTCCTGCTTGGTTAGGCGTTCCCCAGTAGACCAGGGCGTCTTAGAAGCAGGAAACTAGTCCGTTCTGCAGCCCCGGCACGCTGCCTGGCAGATTGAATTTACACAGTGGATATTTGTGTGATAAACTGACCTTCTGAGAGCCCTCATTCCCGAACCTCTTCTCCAAGGACCTGGGCTTAAGTGTGTTTGCCGCTGAAATGTAATTTCAGGACTGTAAGAATTACGAGAACAAGTAGATGGGACTAGTATGGAAATAAGACTTTTCCCATGTTTTTCATGTTTACCAGGTTAGACTGTTATCCAGTGGTCTCCCTTCATTTTATTTTTCCTATTCTCATTTGGATTTTACCATAATCTTTTAAGTACTTTTTTAAAAAGGGTATTATATATGGATGTGTAGGTATAGTGGGGAGAAGCTCTCTTAAGTTTGGATATCTCAGAATCTCGCTGTCCTATATATTCTTTGACCAAAGCAACCACATTTTCCTTCTCTATTTACCTCAGAAGGTGCCAAGAAGGTGAGTTGGGGAAAGCTTTGCTGTGGTACTCAAACTGATCTTTGTGGTTATTGAACCGTCCGTGCAGAACAAAATCTGGAAAGAGTGGCAGAGTTTAAAATGCTGTGTTGCAAACAGATGATCTAAGTGAGATATTTTGGAATCTCTTAATAAAAAAAACCTGTGGTCTCCAACCAGAGATTTTGCAGATCCCTTTTAGAACTGCACATGTACTAATTCTGAAGAGAAGTGGAGGACTGTTATGTGACTGATTGGTTACCTTCTGTGTGTTCTTTATGCTACATTTCTCCCATTATAGTTGAAGATATCAATCTCCAAAGTCTCACATTAGTTAAGAAACAAATTAAACCTGTGCATATACTTATAATCCCAGCTACTTGGGAGGCTGAGGCAGGAGGATTACAAGTTCTAGGCCAACCTGGGCAACTTAAGGAGACCCTGTCTCAAAATAAAATTTTAAAAAGGGCTGGAAGGTAGCTCAGTGGTAGAGCCCTCGCCTAGCATGTGTGAGGTCCTGGGTTTAATTCCCAGCATTGCAAAACAAAACAAGATTAAGACTGATACCCAGACTTATATGCAGCCCTGCCACTCCTGTGGCTGGGCCCTCTGCCCTCAACTCTGGCCCAGTCCCACAGGGCCAAGTTTCAGATGCTGTGATTTTTCAGTTCCAAGCAAGTAATCAAAACTAGTTATTTGGAACTGCTTAAAATGCAGAAGGCCCACGGGCTTGGATGATTGACATCTTTATTGTCTTCAGCCTCTAGGGAGGTCAGTGAAGTGAGAATTTCCCTGAATTATGTATGTGGGCAACAAACCACAGTGTATTAGCAGTACCTTCACTTAGTGACCACACCACATTGTAGTAGTGACAGTTATCTCAAAATAGCATGTATCTGTCTTTTTTAAAATTTTTTTGGTGCTAGGGATCAACCCCAAACCCAGGACTGACAAATGTTAAGCAAGCGTTCTACCACTAAGCTGCATCCCTAACCCTTGAAAAAGTATTTTTATTTTGTTTTGTTTGTTTGTTTTTGAGACAGGGTCTCAGTCACCTAGGATGGCCTTGAACTTGCAATTTTATTGCCTGGGATTCAAAATATCATGTATCTTTCATTATTTGTCATTCCAACTTGTGAATGATGGTTGTCAGTGGCTCTGTTAATGGTTGTATTAATGGTATTAACAATGTATTGCTAATGTGTTAAGAAAGAAGTACAGAATTACTATATCAAAATTCAAGGAATTGTTTTCTAATGTTTGATAAATACTTCAATGTAAACAGTTTCTGTGTCCTTGTTCATGCACTCAATACAGTGTTCTGAGGAGTCCATAGGTTTTATGACACTGACAAAGGGTCTATGACACCAAATACAGTTAAGAAGCCCTGTGTTTGTGACCCTCTGATGCCTGTGCAACGAAGCACAGACTGATTTTATACTCACTGACTTATTCATTCCACAAATGAGGATCTGTGTGTGCCAGGGACCAGGCCAGGACCTAACTAATGATGAGCAAGAGGGGCAAGGCTTTGTCCTCAAGCAGCCTGTAATCTTGTGGGGGTGATGGTTATATTTGATCATGAGTAAAGGCAACTGGAATATTGAGAGAGAAGTCTCTCGATAGGGCAGGTTGAGAGAGTTAGAGGGAAACAGCAGAAGGAAGCTGCCTGCAAACCTGTGGGCGGGGAGGGTTCTCTAGAGAATTGATTTCAAAGCTAAGAACTGCTAGCTGAATTGGGAGCAACATTTGCGAAGGCCTTAAAGACAGATAAAACATTAAGTTCAGTGAGTTGATGGTACCTTGGTTTGACTAAAACATATTGTTCATCCATGGATGATGACAGATTTGTCCAGCTAGAACTGTCCAGTTGTACCTTTGGATGATGGAGATGTCTTGTACATGTGGTGTCCAGTACAGTAGCCATTAGCCACATGTAGCTAATGAGCACTAGAAATGTGGCTAATGGGAAGAATTTATTTATTTATTAATATATTTTGCAGTACTGGGGAATAAACCCAGGACTTTCACACACAGCTACCACCCCAGCCCTTTTAATTTTTTTTTTTTTAATTTTGAGACTTGCTAATCACTAAGTTTGTCAGGCTGTGCTTAAACTTGCAATTCTCTTGCCTCAGACTTCCACAGTGCTGGAATTACAGGGGTGTGGTCAACATGCCCAGCCAAGAATTTAATTCTCAATTTAAATTAATTTAAATTTAAATAGCCACATATTAGTAGTGGCTATGTGCTGGATACTATAATACTGCAGACTCTAGGTAGGGACAGAACATATGAAACCTTGTAGACAAACTCATTTGAAAGAGTTTGAAATCATTCCTCAGAACAGTAGAGAGCCAAGAAAGGTTTCAATTATAGGAATGAATGATGTTGTCAGATACAGAAAATAGTGTCATGGTGCACTGTCCATGTCAATAGTGTCACTGGTTAGGCACTGGGAAAGTATCCAGGCAACATGCTGATAGATGATGGCCTGGATCAGGGAGCTGGACTAGGTTAGAGAAAACTGAACAGACTTAAATGTATTTCAGATACATAGAATCCCAATTGAACAGTGTCTCTGTATGCTTAAAAACTTTCCATATGTATGCCTCTACTCTTGCCCTTCAATTAAGATGAAATTCAGGTGATGTTTTCTCACATGAAGTTTTTATTTTGTGTCAAATGTGGTCCTAAGTATTGGGATTTCAAAGTAAGCTACCCCAACCAAGCCAGTTTTCTTCTTCAATTTGATCCAGGTCATGTGCTCTGTACCACAATAGTCACTTTTCTTGTTGCTGAGACAAAATACCCAATACCCAAAGTTAAAGGAGGAAAAGTTTATTTCAGTTTACAGTTTGTAGAGGTTTCAGTCCATATTTGGTTGATTCCAAAACAGGATGGCACAGCAGAAGGGCATCACAGAGGAGAAACAGCTCATGGCATGGCAGGGCAGGCAGGAGGCAGCAGCAGGCAGCAGCAGCAAGCTTGCCTGCCCTCTCTCCCTTTATATTCCATCCAGGTTGTCAGGCTGTTGGTGCCACTCATGCCCAGGGTGGGGCTTCCATTATCCACACCCTTAATCCCAGTATCACACTCCTTTTTTTTTTTGAAAAACAGTACATCTTTATTGTCTAGAAATATATATATAAAAACACACAAAAGACATTATTCTCTCATTTCCCCATCTTCTTCTTCCTCTTCAACACCTCTGATATAAAGGACATTATTACACCTTATTAAAACTTCACCCAGATGTCCAGACAATGCCCCATCTATGTATTCTTCCATATTTGCAAGCTGCATGTTCATATAGCCATCTACAGAGACCAGGTAGCCCTTGTACTCCATTCCCCACTTCAGTTTCACCATCACTGGCTTTCCTGTTAATCCGTTGAGGAAAGGTTTGGGATTGAGGGGTAAACTCATCGCGAATACAGGCGAATCCCAGTATCACACTCTTAATCTACATTCACATACCCTAATCCAGCCACTTTCTGAACTCCCTATCTGTGACTACATGTGACTTTGACATCTAGATACAAGACATAACATCCACCTACCCTGCCTTTGGCAGGAGGGCTCTCTGCTTGAATGTCATCTCCCTACCAAACTCTTAGGTCCTCCAGGGCCTAAGCAATGTTTTTATTTTTGTATTGTCTTGTATTCTGACCTCCAGCACAATGCCCAGGACTAAGGAGCTGTCCAACAGATGTTTGTATGACATTTCTTTTTGCCAGATTGCATTAGCCCTACACCCTTGCTTCCCACCTGAAAATAAAAGTCTTACTTCAAAATACTTTAGTTCCAAGTACTTGAGTCTAGAAAGGGAAAAAATAGAAATTAGTTCTTTTGGTCATAATCCTAAATTATTTTATTGAATGCCAGTATTACAAATGTAGGTAGCTTTTGAATCATCATCAAATTCACCTGTTAAGGATGGTGCCTCCCACTTTAGCTTGCCAGATGAATGACATAACAGTATTCATTTAAGGGACATCAGAAGTTGTTCCCTATGTTAGCTTTCTGTCACTGTGACAAAATACCTGAGATAAATCAAGTTAAAAGAAGAAAGATTTATTTTGGCTCATGGTTTCAGAGGCTTTAGTCCCTGGTTGATTGGCCTGGGCCAGGCTGAACATCATGGCAAGGAGCACATGGTGGAGCAGAGCTGCTTATCTCATAGCAACCAGGAAGCTGTGAGAGAGCCTGAGAAGAAAGGGGCTGGGACAATATGGTTTCCAAGGTCACACCCCCAAGACCCACTCCCTTCAAGTAGGCTCTGCCTCCTAAGTTTCCATCACCTCTCAGTAATGGTGTGAAATTATTAATCCATGAATGTATTAAACTCACTGATAAAGTTAGAGTCCTTGTGATCCGATCACCTTTGAAAAGCATCACCTCTGAACATTGCTGCATTGGAGACCAAGCCCTTCAGGCGATTTTGTAGGACATTTCAGATCCAACTCCTAACACTCACTAAGGCTCTTGGGCAAACTGTTCAACACTCAGAAATTCAGTCTTCAAAGAGAATTGTGTACTGTGGTATTTTCAGATAATGAAATGTTAACTTAAACTCAACAAAATAGCTGTGGACATCAAGTACTCAAGCCATAGTAGCTGGTGCAGAGTACCTGCTCAAGTGTTTATTAATACTTGATTAGCCCCAAAGCCTCTCCAAATACATTAATGTCTTGTTTGGTTTTAGGATCATAGCAATTGGAGGCTTCTTCTCCCTCTTCCTATTCTTTTTTCTGGTACTGGAGACTGAATCCAAGGCCTCACACATGACAAGCATGTGCTTGCTGTACCATTGAGCTACACTTCCAGCCCTGTTTGGTTTCCTTAAGTATCACAGGCCTTTAATTACGAGTAAAAGAAACTTAGACTATTTTTTCACATTTTCTGGGCGAGAAAGCCAAGACCTAGGAGCAGAATGTGGCTTTGTAATTTCTTGTCCCCATTTATTTTGTGAAGCATATAAAAGCCTTAGAGATTGGGCAAGCACAACTATTTATTTTTTCATTTCATTCTTTCCTAAAACTCTTCTTTTTAATTTTCCCAAATTAAACAATGGACCACCTTCCTGAAAGGTTTCAGTTCACCCAGGCAGAAAGTTAGAAGCAGACAATAGAAATGGAAGCCTTCAGATCCCAGAAAACATTTTTTTAACTTAACAGCCAGCTTGACCCTATAATGAGATTTAGCCCTAGAGAGTTTCTCAGCTGGGTTAATGTGTTTTGTTGTTGTTTTGTTTTATTTTGTTTAGTTTTGAGACAGAATCTTGCTGTGTAGTTCAGGCTGGCCCTGAACTCCCTAGGTAGCACAGGCTGGCCTGAAATTTGCACCACACCCTGCTAGGCTAATGTGTTTTAGACCCTGCATCTCCATCTCTGGTCCCAAAGAGGGCAAGGTCTGGTCTTGGTAATTCTCTTTGGGGTCTCTTTTGTAGTGCTGTGTTCACATTGTATATGTGCTAAAGTTCTGGAGTTGAGGGAGCCATTCTCACTGGCTTTACCACAGAAGCAGCTCCTCTTCCCATTCCCAGATGACTCAGGTCTTAAAAATAAATAAAATACAAAATGTCTCACAGCTGGGTGTTATGCACATGCTGGTAATCCCACGCACTGAGGGAGGCTGAGGCAGGAAGATTGCCAGTTCAAACCGAGCCAGGGAAGCTTAGCACCTTAGTGAGCCCTGTTTCAAAAATTTTAAAAGTGGCTGGGAATGTAATGCAATGAAAAAGCCCTAGGTTCCATCCCCACTATTGGAAAAAAAACCCACTTACAGACATTGGAAAAAAACCCACTTACAGATTTTTTAAAAAAAACCACTTATTGTATTTATATAGTTTTTCCTGTATTAATAGGAGTCGAATTTTTCATGTTTGTTTCAAAAGAGATCGTGAAGCTTAAACTTGGATAAAAGGAGGGAAACATTCCTTGGGTCAAGAGGCTGAACTGCTGGACAAGAGTGGCTGTCTTTGTTGCAATTCCCTGATGTCGAGCACATCCAGCGTGAAGTCCATGGATGTTCTCATCTCTTGTAGTGCACAGAGACAAGTGTGTAAACAGGGTTACAAATGCAAAATAGTGTCCTGTCCAGTGACAGTGATATAGGGTGTATGATATAGGGATGATATATGGACCTCCAAATAATATAAGGGAAATATTTTAACTTCCAACCAGCTAGATGTGCTATATGCTGAGTCACGTTCTCTAAAATCAAAGAATGAATCCTAGCAACAATGGAAATGCTTATTCCTAGAGTAGGAAATGTTTATTGAGAGAAAGATAGCTTCTGTCCAAGAGAGACAGAAGGGGCTTGGAAGGTGGGTAGCCCATGGACTCCAGCTTCCTAAGGGAGTTTTATAGAGCAAAACCACCAGGGGTGGGGTTATAAGGTGGGACAAAACTATAGTCAACTAATAAGATTCCAAGTATAGTCGCTTAGGTAATATTGATCCCATGGAAGAGCAAAGGTGGGTATGAGGTGGGACAAAACCATGACCTACCAAGAAGACCACGAGTATAGTCCATAGGTAGTATTGATTAAATGAGGATCAAAGTGGGGAGCAAGTTACATAGCAAGCAAACATGCAAGGAACAAGGATTTTCCGGGAAGTAATGGGCTAGGGAGGTTTGAGTCCCCCACCCAAGGTGATTGGCCTCTTTAGAATACCAGTCACTGCTGTTCATCCCTAGAGGAAGTATGTGGGTATAGTCATTTCTCCTTGTCTTGAAGCCTGACCTTCAACTAATGTGCCTCTACCCATAGTTATAATATGTTCTTATCTTCTGCAATGACTCTGTTGGGGCCCAGCCCTGTCTGACTACCTATAATATTTTAACTAACTTAGCTATAATGACAGCACCACAAATGCTCATTGTTTTTGTTGTGGTGTTTTGTTTTGGGTTTTTTTGTACCGGGGATCGAACTTGGGTCCTTCCACTTTCGAGGCAGGCGGCAGAACCACTGAGCTCAATCCCCGGCCCAATGTGTTTTTTTTTTTTTAACATGGAATTGATAGCCAATTCTTAGTCCATTGTGTATCAGTTTGCTAGGGCTTCCATAACAATGAACTACTTGCTTTGTAATTGAGAGGGTAAAATAGATTTTTTAGTTAGGAGTTTTTGTTTCAGAGGTGGGCTGTTTCTCCAGACATCCTCATGTTGAGAGTATAAACCGTCACTACCCTCCTCCACTCACAGGAATGGACAGAAAGTACCAGCTCTGGAAAGAATGTGCAGGTGCTGCCCCAGGAGGTCAGAGCTCAGATTCCTACCCACAAGGAAGGAAGGAAGGAAGCTAGCAACACCCAGGGGATGCAGCAGCTGTGGAAATTTCTGTTGCCTTGTTGTATTCCTCCTTTCTCTTTCTCACCTTTACACACCTGAACACTGGAGATGTGACTTGAGACAAGAGGCACCTCCATCTCCTTTGGAGCTAGCTGTGAATGAAGCCTTCTTCCTTTTTCACTGAAGCTTGTCTCCCACGTTCTTGGAGAGCGGTGGGTGTACAGGCCTGAGAAATGAGTAACAGCTCGCTAGGGCTCGGTGGCTCAAACTATAGAAAGCTATTTTCTCACATTTCTGTGCCTAGAAGTTCAAGGTCCAGGTGTCAGAAGGGTGGATTTTTCTGAGGCCAGGCTTCCCCAGGGGCCTTAACACAGTTGGGTTCTCCATTTTTGTGTCCTGGACTAATGTCCTCCCCTTCTAAGGACAGTCATGTTGCTTAGGGGCCACAGTGACTTCATTTTAACTTAGTTACCTCTTTAAAGACTGCATCACCAGGGCCAGGGATTTAGCTCAGTGGTTCTGGCGCCTGCCTCACAAGCGCACGGTCCGAAGTTCGATCCCCGGTACCAAAAAAAAGACTGCATCACCAAACACAATCACACTTTGAGGTACCAGGGGTCAGGACTTCAACATAAGAATTGGGAGGGACACAGTCCAGCCCATAGCACTTTATGCACACAGTTCAGAAGTCCCTGCTTGGAACAGGTTAAAGCAGGAAGCCCATCCCTGTAATCTGGAGTTAGCACAGGCAGTGCCACTTGTTGGGGAAACTGGATCTGGGATTTGATGTTCTGTTTACAGCCTACTTCCCACAGCTATAGTGAGGAGAAAAGCTTTGTTTACACCTAACAAAACCCTTAGCTGTCCTTTTTACCTGCTTATCTACAGAATGACTTGGTGACTAACCAAAGGGTTGCCGCCAGACACAGTCCTGGGTGGTTCCCCAAATCAGAGATAGGGAACCTTGGTTCACCCCCCACAGGGCAGGTTGCAGGTTTGCTAATTTCCATCCCAGAAAAAGAATTTTCAGGATGTGTCAGTAAGAGGCATAAAGAGGTTTGTTAGGTCGATTTTTTTTTTTTTTTTCTGAGACAAGATCTCACTATGAAGTTCAGGCTGGCCTCTAACTCCTGGTGATCCTCCTGCCTCAGCCTCTGG